CAATTAAGTTGTGTTATTTGAGTTAAGCATTGTTCTCCGATGTTAAGGCCTTTATTTTTGGAAAACACGTGTGGAGAAGTTAATTTGATTTTTTAATCTCAATTCAGAAGGGTACCTACAAGTATCAGTATTGTCTTAATTTATATGATCTTATTTTTAGGTACCTCCACTGGATTTTCGATAACTAAGGTTTCCGTTTAAAATGAATTTTTAAAAATGAAAAAGCATTCTTGAAGATTTACTTTTAGCTTTAATTGAAAGCTAAATGATTAAATTTATTATTTCAAGTAAGTAAAATATTCTGGTGTATTTCAGATAGAAATAGATTGGAATGTCAAATATTTGCTCGATTTTTTTTCTTAATTTTAAGAAATTGTAAACAAAATAAAATTATCGGTTTTAAAAATATTCCAAAAATAAAATATATATTTCTGACACGTTGAGTAAAATTAGAAAAATTAATCCGATTTGAAATAAATATTACTTATAGCATAAAAAAGTAATATACAAGCATTTAACGATTGGTCCTCTTTTTCCATGAGGTCGCTAAAAAAGAGCATAGCATGACAAAAAAAAAAACGCCAAAGTTGACGAAAACAAAACTTTATCGTCTAAATGTTTCTGTTATTATTAAGAGGAAAGATCAAAGTATTTTTGGTATTTACATTTTTTAATCGTTCCTAGCACTTCCAAAATTTTCATTAATTTTTTTTTTTTTGCGTCAGCAAAATTGACAGACAATCTTGATATTTCATTTATGGAAAAATGTCATAGCTGAAATTAAACTTTTACTTGGGGAAGGGGCATAAATAAATAAAGTAGACTTAATAATACATGCATGCATACTCAGTAAAAAAAATAAAAAACAGCGGCCATTGTCAAGTTTGCCGTGTACACCGTAAGTATTAAATTACCAATTAAACTTCAGTTAGTTTCATATGACTACCCAAAAATTTGTTCTATGAAATTTCATAAACTCACTTTCATGTGTTTAGGTTTTATTACAATTCTAATCATCGCTTTTTCAAACAAACACTGCCGAAGAAAGGTAAAGGTAGTAAAAAAAGCGGTGACATGGGAAAAACTGTCCTTTTGACACTCCGTTTTAGCCATGTTTGTCTTATTTAGAAAGGGTTAAGGTAAATTGATCTTGTTCTGCTTAATATACAAAGAGTAGAAACTGAAAAACTTTAAACTAATTTGCACTGGTGAAAGAAATTAAAATGCAATTGCTTAGTGCCATAATTTGATAATTAAGAGATTAGGCTTGCCTCATCATATGGTTTGAGTTATGAACCTAAAACTTATCTAAAACATTGTGTCATCGTGTCAGATGTCTGGACAAGGGTGAAAAATTAATGCTTCACACAGGCGCTGTTTTCCATAGATAACACTCCTGAATATAAATATCTACTTTGCAATCTGACTTTCCACGCTAGAAATAAGTCAAGAACTTTTCCAAGTAGTTTTATTGAAAAATAACTCATTTCTTAAAGAAATGAGTTATTTTTCAATAAAACTGCTTCAAATGTTTAGTTTAAGGAGAGAAATCAGTCAACTTTCCTTTTATATTGCATTTAAAGATAAAAGACTTCCCGCTCTCCATCACTTTGTAAATAAGAATCTTGTTCAATTGTTAAAAATAAAAACATCAATCTTACTAATTTATAATCTCTAAAAATTTATTCTGTAAGAAGCAGTAATTACCCAAAAATTTATTTCTTTTATATCTGAAAATAATTCCTTGTCTCTTTGGCAATATCTTCCTTCTCTAAATATAGCGAACTATGCAAATCAGGAACTTTCTTTTAATTAACCACATTATTTAGTTAATGAATTTAACCCCACTTAATCATTTTGAAAAGTAATAGAGCATAATTTTTTTTTTTAAACAAAACTCTAGGTTTTAAAAGTATTACGTATTTTTTTATATCTTTGCTTGAAAAAAAATAATATAAAATAAAAAAGGAGTGGCCACGTGTACAGCACATTGACCTTAAATGTCACGCGAGATCGGCGCCATATTGAGGCAAATCTAAGACCCTGTGGGGGTGGAGAGGATCAGGTAAAGAATTTTCCCTGTATGTATGTGTATATATGTTGAAAATTTAAAAAGAGAACACTGCAGACTAAGCCGTTATGTATAATACCCCAACGCCAGCGTTTTACTTTTAAGTAATAATGTACCTTCTCAAATTTATTATTTATTTTCCACGGTTTTACTATGAATGGATAAGTAATTTAGAAAAAAGCTTCGTATTTAATTTTAAACAATCTATTGAAATAATAATAACAGAGTAGCACTTATTCTGTTTTATTTTTAAACAATTAGGCTGGTTTGATAGTTTACTAAACTTTACTTTCAAGATTAATAATATTGTTATCAGTATCACATCACAGATTCATTGCTAATTCTTTTGTAACAGCATAAAATGGAAAGTTGCTTAATTTCTTACTGAAGTCATTAGTTTGGAGCATTTACTGTAATTAGTGTAGAATATTCATCATTCAGTGTATTTTCAGTAAAACAAATCACGGCCACAAAAAGGGATAGGTCTTTCTTTCCTTTTTAAACACTGCGGTACATGTCCAAAACAGGGTTTTTCCCTTGAAAAGTTTAACACTAAAATTGAATCGGTATCTAAATTTATCAAAGAAAGAATATTGTGGAAACTATAGGAATCTATTTTTCAAATTTAGCGGTATCACACGTGTACAATTTGTCTGTCCACGTCAGTGGGACATGCTGAAAAGCGAAAACAGTACTGGGATCCTTCTCTTGCTCATCCCCCCTCCTACATCACATCGCTAAAAATTAGAACCATTTCGCATTCATTCGTCAGGTACACATTACTGAATTAAGATAAAAATCGACTTGGACTGTATCTTTATTTTAATAAAACATGTATTTTACAAAAAAATGAAAATATTTCATACACTAGGCAGTAGCAGCATTTTATTCCCTGACTCATACACATAAATTCACTTGCCTTTACGCACTGACTCATACATTTTTGCGAAATCTAAATGCAAGCACAAGGCTGCTGCTCTCCTCAATGTATTTATTAAAAATAAAAGAAATCAAGTTGATCCTTAGCTTCTTGAGATAGATCCGTTTTTTAAGATCTAACAAATATTCAAACTGAAAATCATTACTCACGCGACTGAAAAGTAGGAGGGAACAAAAAAAAAAAAAAATAGTAAGTAAGAGAATCAAAGTACCGAGAAATATACTGCACAAAAAAAGCTTTTAATTTAATAAAGCAATAAAAAAAAAAAATCAAACATGCTATTTTTTCAAACTGAACACAAAGGCAGCAATAAGAAGCTCCTGCGGGGAGTTAAAAAAAAATAAACAAAATTATATTCTACGTTGTAGTAACAATTGAGAATAGTTAAATTTTTTAAATTCAACAAGTTTTAAATAAATTTAGAACGCTTTAAGGTGCCTAAAAGCAAAAAATAAATAAATAAACAATAGACACTTATATAATTTTTTTAAAACCACAAACACTTAAGAACTTTTACATTATTACACTGTAAAGACCTGTTAGTTTTAGCAACAAAAAGGTTGAAACGTAATTCGAAGCAGTAATTCATTTCATCATTTAGAATCTAAATTTTTAAATTTTAGAAAAAACAAGAAAGCATACTACTACTGCATAACAAAGTTTACGATTTGATGATCATAAATCATAAAAGATTTCATTTCTCTAACAAAGTGATTTATTTTTCACAAAAATGCCAGAAACGTGTTCTCAAAACAGGTACGTGTTTTCTTTAAAACTTTTAAAGTTATAAAATTAAAAAACTTTTAAAGTTATAGAAATAAGCAAGCTAGTTGTGTGTTGAATTTTATACACTTGTTCTACGTAGGTAGTACCTAAAGGAAAATAATACTAAATAATGAACAGCCGATTACGCTTCGGCTTATTCAAATTTCGTAAATATGAAAATTGAAAACTAAATAATTTCAAGTAAACAATTTTAAAAATAACTGAACAGGTTTGTTCGCTTACTTCATTTTTTAAGTTTGTGATAAATTACGTTACGTAAAAATGAAATTAAAGCAAAATAATTCAAATGAATTATTAAGTTTGTTTACATCAGGCAGAAAAGTAAAGATTGTTAATTTCCAAGTTATTAAAACCTTCCAAAATAGTGAAACTGAGTCAATAAGCAAGACAATTGGTACACAACATAGTTTACCATAAAAAAGGGTATTTACCACCATAGATAATGAAATTAATGGTTATGCAAATAATGTTTTTTCTAGCCTAAAAAAACAAGCTAAAAAGATTTTTTTAATAATCTTCGATAGTAATAAAACAAATAAACTCTTTAATAAAAACGTAAGAATAAACAATCAAGGTAACATCACACGAACTAAAAATGGCTATTGCTTGTCCATTTCCACCAAGATGTAGTCATATTATCACTAGCCAAGATAAAAATGAATATAATTTGTGACGATCTATGGAGCAGTAAAATAACACATCAAAACGGGTGCAAGTTGTAGTGTTGTTGGTAACGAATAACCCAAACACAACACACGGAGAAGAGGGTCGCTCATTTGAACGAAGAACGTCGCCAGTTTCTGTCGTTTTCGTCAGAAGGCGAAAGAAAATAAAAGCAGCCTCCATCAGCAGGCGACACCGCCATGAGGCGAACAGAATCGTGTAATAACAAACAATTTCCAGTTCGTCATCTTTTAGGTGTGTATGTTTCTTACTCTCTCTCTCGCTATCTTTCTCAGCAATTCACGGAGTAAATGAAGTGCACAAGAACCTAGAGAAATGTTCTTCTTGAAGAGCGACATTTTTTACAATACAAAATCGCTTTCATGTCGTACAGGGAAAAACCGCGTGTAAAGCAGAGTAGTTCGACCCTTAAAAAAAATCCTGTTTATTTGCCTTGTCCCATATTGCTCTCTCACTCTCTTTCTCACACCCTCCCGTCTCTACACAGTTAAGTCAGAGACAAACTGAGTACTTACTTACCAGTTACGTACTTTTCGTCACCAACTTTGCCGCAATCGGAGTGGATAAATTAGCAGAATACGTAGTGGCCACGTCAACTACAGCGTCACAGCACAGCACCGCCATACAACTCTTTCTACTTCTCTATCTTTCTTTCTTTTTCCTTTCACTCTTCCGTAGTTACAATGAGAGAGGAGAAGGCAGCGGAGTTAGTTAAAAGACGTGCTTCGGTTGACGTTGTTAGAGAGGAAAGGAGTTTGCCGCATCACTTGGCTGTGTATTATTTCGCCAGGGAAAATCCACCCACGTCCAGACTAATGACGACATGACTACATCAAACTCAATAAACGATGACGTCATTCTGACTGAAGGACTATTTTTCTATCTTCCTTGTTTTGTTTCGTTTTTTTTTTTTTTACCTCCTACCACGCATAATCCTTATCGTCTCGCGCATCCGGATTCTCCTCACTTGAGCTTCTCTCTCTCTCTCCTTATGTGTTCTTATAATTTTGCCCTTTTCCATCTCGAATTCAAGCTTTTTTTTTTTTTATAAACTCAAAACAAATAACTTTCATGTTCTTCCAGGCTTTTTGTCGGGCTCTAATCTATTCATTAAAGAAAATAAATACTTTAAAGTTTAGAGTCAGTAGACTCAGTCTCTCAGTGGATTCTTCATTTACCTCAAACATTTTTCATGAAAAAGGTAACAAAATTAACCCCTTAGTTTATTCCATATTTAATTATTGTATTTATGGAAATTTTGAGTTTAAAAAAAAATGGTTTTCAATTTAGCTCCAACTCTAGTATTTAGCGAACTATATTTCTTCAGAAGCCATTCGACTGACTCACGCAAACACGTAGGGAGAATTTCGATCTTAATCTCTTGACTAAAGAGTCTTGGAATGAAATCTTAGTTTTTTTTTTTTTTCCAAGCCTTTTTGCTCCAAACATATTCTGTTGCAATCGCGTCTGGAAATTCAACCGTCCGTATTTAAATGTAACACATCTTAACATTCCTTGTACTTTTCGAAGCGAAAACGAAATAAAAAAGTGATTTTATTTTGCCCGGGAGCTTTAATTGACGGGAAATATTCGTATGTTGAACTCACGAGCCCGTTTTTTTGTTGTTTTTTTTTTTTTGTTATTGGGTTTTTGTTTTTTTTTAAAAAAAAGGGAACATTTATGGAATAATGCTATATAAATTTCAATTACTCCAATATTACTGGTTTATTCAGTGTTCATTTTATTAAATGACATTTAGGCTTTTTAAACCTTTTGTCTTTCTGTTCGTGTATTAATATAAACTGAAAGTCTTTCTTTATCCACTTTAAAAAAAAAAAAAAAAAAAGTTAATTTTAGAAATTGTTTGGGTGTGTCAACTACATGAACGAAACTCATTTTCTCCCGATTGCTTTAGTAACAGTTTTTAACTTTCCTTTTTTTCGTCTTCTCCTTTTGCAACGATATTTTGATGACTGAAGAAAGGGATGTCATCGGGTTTCTCCCTCGAATATTTCACAATGATAGCTAAAGAACTGGGAGTTCTGTAGAGCAGGTGTTAAGTTGATAAGGAATAAGGATTATTAGCGTATTATTCTAAAACTAAAAGTGAGTCTCAAAAGAAAAAAAATGTCATGTTTTTGTCTAGTCAGTTGTAATGCATATACCATATTCCTGCAATTAAAAACTTAGGGAAGCGAATTAAATAAAATAATAAAAACGAAGTAGACTCCAAACTTCTTGATATGATGAGGCTCCTTTTTCAGTCTTTTTTCATTTTTTTTCTTAATCGCACTTTAAATCAAATAAGAAGTTTGATACATTCATTAAAATAAATAAGCTTAGCTAATTGGCACGAGTAGAGGGCACCCAGTGAGTATCTTATTCACTAAGAATAATCTGCGAGACTAACTTGAGTGTTGAAGAGAGAGCTATACCCAACAACATTGGAGGGTCTTCCCTTACACATTCATTATTTTTACAAGTGTCAATCTAGAAGTAGTAAACAAAATACCCTTTGTTTTCAGCTTTCTTACAAGACACTTAATCACGTGTTTGTTTATTTAAAAAAAAAAAAAAAAAAAAACTAAACCAACATTTCGTTTTTTCTGTGTATAAAATATTTTTTATCCATTTGTCGTTCATCAGAGTTAAGGACTGAATGGTTTTTACTAGAATTTTTAGTTTCTCCTTGAAAAAAAAGAATTAGCCTTTGCTTGCTGATGTACAGTAAGAAGTGTGTTACAGACGAAGATAGGTATCTAAGAAATAAGACAAAAATTAAAATTTTCACATTTTTAAAAAAAACTTTTGATCAACTTACATTCCAAAACAATTGTTTGTTACTAACTAGTTTGATACCAGTTGCTTCGCTGACGCTAAGCTAGTGAACAAATTTAAAATCAAAATTGTTTATCCATTTTTTTTTTTTTTTTTTAAATACTGCATTTATTAGAAAGTATATATTCGGTTTACAAAAGGAGTCATCATAAAAATGACCTCAAACTCTTTTCCAGAAATAAAAGTTGTTGCCAGACAAAAAGGAAATTAATTATTAATCCTTGCATGACACATCTCTCACTTTCATTCAGGTTGTATGGACGTTTTTTGCATGTATAATGACAGGCCAAGAACTATTTTTACAAATGTTAAGAATTTTAAAAATTATCGGAATTTTTTTTTGTGTTTATGGTATATGCATTACAACTGACTAGACAAAAACATGACGTTTTTTTCTTTTGAGACTCACTTTTAGTTTTAGAATAATACGCTAATAATCCTTATCAACTTAAAAAAAATTACACCCCCTGTTTTCAATTAAACAAATAAATGTGTCCAACTTTGATTTTATTGCTGAACCAAAGGTAGGTGTTGTTCAAACTGAGTGCGAAAGGAATGCATTTTTTTTTTAATGTTATTTCATTGTAATTGGCACAAGCACTAAGTCACTTACACCGAGTGTGTGACAGACAGAAAATCAGTTTTTATTTTTCTTAAATAGATTATCTGAATTTTTTTTTTTAAACTGAATTCCTATCCACAGTCAAATGTAAGGTTTGTTTGTTTTTTAGTTTATAAAGAATACTTTCCTTTAAATTCTCCTTATGCTAATCCCAAACCACAATAGTACTTGTTTGTTTATTAGTTTTTCATAGCATTTATTATGTACTAGTTTAATTGAAGTAAGTAAATCAGCATAATGCTCTATATTTTTTGTCCTTTGCCAGAGAATTAGTAAATATGTAACAAAACAATTTCAATTTTGTTTCTGGTTGAATTCCAAACAGCCTCTTCTGCTTCCGATTTTGACAGTTTATACAATATTAAAGGTTACAAGAGTTAATGGCAGTATTCTCATTCTCCATTTACCAAAGCGTTACATCCCTAGAAACAGTTAAACTGCTTAAATATTGATTAGAGATATCAAACTTCAATACACTAATGACATATCCAATACCTACTGAATAATGAACTTAGTAGTTGTGGGCTGAAAAGTTTTCATCTACTAATGAATTTATTCATTAATATAGATTTTCAATTAAACAAATGTGTTTAAAAGGAGTCTATATTAATCAATATGAAAAACAATTACGCTTGCACCAGATTAATGAGCGATTTTTTTTTTTTACGTTGCATAATGGAGCCCAAAATGACTAGAATTACATTTTAAAAAATATCTCAAATTATACTGTAAAACTTACATAGCATGCTAAAAGAATTGTATGATGTGAGTAGTATTTGCAATAAAGTGTTCACTGTAAAATCCAGTATTATATTTCTACCTATAACCTATTAATGAAAATATATCAAAAGTAAAAACACAATTTTTTAAAAATAAAACTACTTAAGACCACAATACCTACTAAAAATTCACCAACAGGAACTATTTTTTGAGAACATGGACACATCAATACAAAAAAGAATATTGATGGTATTGTCTGAGGCATTTCTTTTCCACTCTATTTTTGGTGCCTATTGTAAACAATGACGCATGTTATTGCTCAAATTTCCTCTGCTGTAGAAGCGTCATTTCTATCTTTTGCATGTGCATCCACTGATGAAATATTTGCAAACAATCATTTACATATGTAATAAAACTATGGCATCATATGGCCAAGTGGTTAGAACTACAGAATTCCAACCATGAGACCAAGGTTGGAATTTTACCAGGATAAATTTCTTGATGTCCTAGGAAAATGATATGAGAGTGTGGTACTGTTGGGAAATGCCTGAATTCCAACCTTGGTCTCATGGTTGGAATTCTGTAGTTCTAACCACTTGGCCATATGATGCCATAGTTTTATTACATATGTAAATGATTGTTTTCAAATATTTCATCAGTGGATGCCACAGGATGACCCAAGTGAAATTGGGTTGACTGAATTGTACAGAACTTGTTGATGATTGTGTTAATGCAAAGTCATTGTGACTGAGAATTTGAGCATACTGACCTTGTTCAAAACTGTTTATCATGCTAGATATGTTCTCTCCCAGAAACTGTAACTAAAGTCCACTCAGCTGAGTTTGCAGTATAAACCACAGGTTTGTTATTTGGATGTTGAAGAAACAGAAATGTACCTGAAGAGGGATTAGCTAGCCACCCTAGCAGATGCACATACTTGGAAAGGAACAGCTAGCCATTTACTTACAAATATAAAACACATTGCATACATAAGGAGTGACACCTTTGCATAGCATCAAGTATATATACCACCCACCCCCATGCATATACACATTACATTTTATATATGGAGTTGTAAAAGTCTGTGTCAAGTTTCTTTGCCAATAACTGGTGCTCAAGTAAAGGACAGAATCTTTAAAGATTTTCAAAGCAGGATTGCCCATTTCAATTCATTATCTAAGCCCTCACATTTATATCTGTATGATAGAATTAGTTATATTAACAATAGTTAGAGAAACTGCTTTAATTATTCCTTTATTACTGTATCATGACAGTATATGCATAATTTAATGTCTATGATTTGCAACAGAAACAATTTTATTATAGATGGACATATTTATAGATACCAATGGAGAATTAAATA